CATCTCAAATAATAATCTGAGGTGACACAGTTAACCAAACAATTAGAATAGCCATAATATACTAAAGGCATTAATATATGAATCTGTAGGTCTAAAAATATGCAGCACATTTGGTTAACACTTGGAAAATATAAACTGTGTATTTGTATCATCCTAAATTTCACCCATTCAAAAGATATATTCTCATAATTCATAAGGTGAAAATTCAAATATTCTTCAATGTGAAATTTGTTAAGAAAAATGAACAAATTCCTGTATTAAATTTGTACTGGACTTCCCTGGTGGTGCAGTGGTTAAGATCCACCTGCTAACATCAGGGGACATGGGTTCGATCCCTGGTCCGGGAAGATCCCACATGTCGCAGAGCAGCTAAGCCTGTGCGCCACAACTACTGAGCCCACGTGCAGCAACTACTGAAGCCCGCATGACTAGAGCCTGGCTCCGCAACAAGAGAAGCCACTGCAATGAGAAACCCACGCACTGCAACGAAGAGTAGCCTCCACTCGCTGCAACTAGAGAAAGCCCGCACGCAGCAACAAAGACCCAACACAGCCATAAATAAATAAATAAATAATGAATAAAAATATTTGTACCTGGCTTATCATCATTATAAATAGGACATGTATACTAGAATATATATAAGTACACAGATACTTCTCAAAGGTTCCTTCATATCTACAATATATTGATGAAATTGTATAATACTGTCCACCATTACTAACAGATGAGGTAATTTTATAAATTATAAAAGGGAAAAATAACAGTGGTTTTTATGTCCCATATAATGAAATAACCTTTATATTTTGGCCAGAAAGGTGACTAAACAAGTAGGAGCTCATCAACTTAAGGTTGTAAGTATATTATATTAAATGTTGGCTTGAATTTCAAAGAGGAATATTTGGCTAAGAAGGAGCTGGTAAAAAAATTATCAGAACATCATCACTGGGAATGATTAATAAGAACAACAGCCACATGCAAGTGACCTTAACAGAGGAAGTAATAATGAACTCTGTCCAGCTCTGTCCTCTGATGCAGCAGTGTCATTCCCAGTGGCCTCGAGGTGATTATACGCCTGAAGAGACACACTGATGGAAGTATGTTCTCTCTCTTGACCAGAAAAGGATGACCCAGTGTTAACAGGGCACCTAGAGCTTGCCATGACAAGTTCCTTATTCCCTTTTGGATTGTGTGGCATATCCTTAGTCTAGGGACCTGCCTCTTCTCCACTCTGCCCCACCTCACCCATAATGAACCAGGGAAATGTGAGTGGCAGCAGTAAGACAAGTCTTTCTGGAAAATATATTTAAGTATGTTTCTTGTCTTTGGGCACATCCAAAATAAAAGTATCTAAGTGAGATCTGTAGTAATGTTTATAGTCCAAGGAATAGCTTTTGGTGAGCATCAAGTTAAGTTAGTTAGAATGGGTAAAGTGGTAAGTTAATTGATATACGTATAAGTGGTAACCAACCATTAACCATTATATATGACAGTCTTCATGTTAACCGAACATCCCTTTTACACAAAGATAGAGTTTGCAGGAGGCATACATACTATTATAAAGGCATATTACTCTAAAGTCAACACAGCAAAAAAAGATTTCAGGAGAAACATAATATGGATACATCAAAAAGCTTTAAAATCTCAATCTCAAAATTATTTTTTACAACACTAGTATTTGTTATTTATCTTGCTGAAAGTGCTCAAAAGGAAAATTTTGCTTAAAAGGAAAGTTCTCAATAAATTATTATTGTCCTTGTAATGGTTTACCATTACGTAAAGTTGGTGTTAGACAAAATGGTAATATGGAAGAAATTTTATTCCTGGCATCTTTTTTATTTCCAAATTCTTTTATACCCACATTTCCATCCAGGCTGCTAGTGTATTGTTTGCATTCTCACACCAGTCGAGAGTATATTTCTTTTCATTCAATCAAAAACTTATCTGTTCTCTGTACCATTCCTTCTCTTCCTTCCAGGAGATAATAAATGAATGAAAATTATTTGGATCGAGTAAGTGTGAAGAGATTAACTAGATATTTTGCTACCATTTCTTGGTATCTTTAATTAATTAGAACATTGTTTCTCAAACTTTAATAGTCATCAGAATCATTGGAGGGATCCTTAAATTTGGTGGGTCGCATCCCCAGAATTTCTCATCCATTAGTGCTCAGGTGAAGCCCAAGAATCTGCATATCTAGAACAAGTTCCCAGGTGATGCTGATGTTGCTGGCCCCTTAAGAACTGAGTTAAAGGGCTTCCCTGGTGGCAAAGTGGTTGAGAAACTGCCTGCCAATGCAGGGGACACGGGTTCGAGCCCTGGTCTGGGAAGATCCCACATGCTGCAGAGCAACTAGGCCCGTGAGCCACAACTACTGAGCCTGTGCGTCTGGAGCTTGTGCTCCGCAACAAGAGAGGCCGCGATAGTGAGAAGCCAGCACACCTCGATGAAGAGCTGCCCCGCTTGCCGCAACTAGAGAAAGCCCTCGCACAGAAACAAGACCCAAACACAGCCAAACATAAAGAAAGAAAGAAAGAACTGAGTTAAAAATTTACTTCACTACTGTAGTTAGGTAGTGAGACATGTGACTACTCAGCAGGTTTTCTATTTCCCCTCATATTCCACAAGGTAAGTCTAAACTTAAGGCCAGCCCTGGTAGCCCTACTCTTAATATTTCAATAACATTAAATTAAAAAAGGAAAAAAAGTTTACCAATTTTCTTTGGATAGCCCATCAACAAACAAAATAAAACAAAAATCTTTTCAAAACACGAAAACAATCTCAACTAAAGTGAACTCCAATGCTTGCTTGCTACTTTAATCAGGTTACCTAGAACACTGAACTCTGTAAGATATTACTGTAGAGCAAACTTTATCTTCAGTTCCTCTTTGATGAAGAGCTGAACAGTTATATGTCTCCTGTCCTTCCTCGTACATTCTTACACACAAACACAGTCGTGCTTACTGTATAACTTCTGATTTTCAAAATTGGAGTTACACTCCTGATCTTATTACCTAAAATACGAACAATGATTCTAGATTATCTCTAGGAATAATGTTGGCATGTAATTGTCAACTATGTAACAAATATATTAAAATATCTGGAAATTTCCCAAATTGTCTAAATTTTCCACCGGTTATTTTACTGTACTTTTCATTAACTCATATTCAAAAAATGAATTAATAATAACTCTTGAACAAATACATATTTTTTTCTAAATACTCAAATCATTCTTTTATTCATTTATTAATTACCCATCTCTACTGCTGCACAGGAAAATATAAGCCTTCTTGGCAGCTTAGGGAATAGTAATATTTTTTAAATAATAGTGTTATATTTTGATTGAAACAAGTCAAACAACTGTCACAATCATAAGTAAGATGTGGTGTAAGCTCACTCAATAGACAAGGTATGTTTAAATGTGGCATAGTTTGACAAAATAACTCCTTTTTAAATTTTTAATAGTATTGATGTTAATGTGGAAATAAATAAGAACTCTTTAAAGACTACTTTTATGTGTGGAAAGATTCTTCAAATAGCACATATTTTGGAATAACATAATTTAAGTATCATAAAAATTTGAAGATAAATTTATTCAATTTTCCTTTAATATAATCAGAGAAAAATCATGAAGAAAACACAATGCTTCCTAGGCAAGTTTTAACTAGATCATGTTATTTTTAGATTCCTAATTTCAATCATTCAATTTTTCTCTATCTGTTCCATTTCCAAAAATCTTCCTCCTATCATTATTTCCATGCAAGTAGCAATTTAGTCAAATATCCTGCCCTTCAATAAGAAGACTATCTTTGAAAGAAAAAAAGGTAAAAATGTTGATGAAGGAATCTATAAATTCTGAGCAATTTGCATTTACCATTATGTCATCAATTCTATAGCAATCATGTTCAAAATAAATAACATAATCAACACTCCTTTCTTCATCCAAAATATACCAATTTTAGCTCATGTCTGGATAACTATGAAGCTACTTCTAACTTAAAATTATATATTTTATGTCCACTGTAAATAAAAGAAGCATATAATTTTAATAACCTGACAATATTAATCTTATCTGTTTCTTAATATTTTAAGGGAATACTTCTAAAATATTTCAGATTCCAATATCAAGAAACAACAACACTGTGTGGACTCAAACACACACAAAGTCAATAGATATTTTGATGCAAAATATATAGATCATATTAATTTACATTAAATTAATAATTCAAACTCCTTTCTCTCACTGTGATATAATTACTAATTCGTGCATTTTGGTTACAGGCACATATGGCAAAATTCACAATTAGAATCCCTGTACCAAAACTCTGAACTATATGAATTGAAAAGATATCAGTGGGATTGCAAGGACCAGCTTACAAAACAAATTCCCTCAAAGTGTTTTTTTGTAGCAAGATGATAATTTAAGTTGTTAGCAATTACCTATTTCCAACCTTAGGGGGAAAAAATCACTGATGTTATTAAAGCATTATGAGAACGAATTACTAATGGCATTTAGTGAGTTACTCAATAAAAAAAATCAAAACTGGATCAATACATTAGATATGTTTTTCAAAAATAAGGGATTATACAAAAAGCTAGATTAGTGGAACTAGATATAATGGTTTGTGTATTTACTGAGCTGTAACGAAAGTGAAAGTTAGGGTATTATTGCAGAGATTTGATGATATGGTCCACTGTTCACCTAAGACCACCAAACATAGCTTTCTTAAACCTGCTTCATATCTCAGTTTTCAGTCACTGAGCATTTCCTTCGAGCGTACTTCTGTTCAGCTGAGATATAGTCAGACTGCATTTACAATATCTGTACATAAAACAAGGGAAACGCAGGGCATCATTTCTCATAAAATGAATAAACAGTATATACTTCAATGCTTTATAATGTTCCTCAATGTAATATACACTGGAGAAACCATACACCCATATGTGTGTGTCTATTATATTGATAATAAGAGTACATTTGTTATTTTATATATTTTCCTTACCAGTCAAGTTCTTCAATCCAAGTTCTTGAAGTCCAAAGTTTCCATCTTTTCTGTAGTTTAAAAATATTGCCAAGGCATATCGATCTTCATAAAGTTTTGTCCCACGAATAATGCGTAAATTCTCCAGAGGCAGATAGCGAAACTGATTAAGAGCCACCAACACGTAGCCTGTGACTTCTCTTATAGACTGAAAAGACACAAACAATTGCCTGTGTTAAATAATGAAAAACTGTTTGTCAGTATGTTTATGTAGTCATTTAGATAAAAATGAGTTATTTAATTCCAATTTTCAGTTTTTAATTGAATACACTAATTTCCATATTATACTATAAATAATTGCCTTGACACACAAGATCACAAGGGTTAGAATCTCATTTGAAGAATTAGTTGTATTTTTTTAAAAGTCATGAATGTGTTTATAGTAAAAAGAATGAATTTTATTGTATGAAGCATTCCTCATATTTGAGATCTGAATATAATGAAAGGAATAAAGATCTCATTCTCCGACAGACTAAAATGAGGTAAGAACACATAACCATCAATCAAACTTTATATTTAAAAAAAACAAATTGGTAAGCTTATCACAAATAAAACAAAGATGCATTAGTTTGTAGACTGTAGACTGTGGGACAGATTTCAAGCTGCTATATTAGTGTTTAAATCTATAGTTATCAAAGAACAATTGCCTTATACATCTCTGGCGAATATATGCATATATTTATATATATAAATATGCATTAGATACTGATTATGGTTTCTAATTTGATTACAACCACAATTTTTATTTTGACTGTTTATTGTTTAAATGTAGTTGTCTATAATATAAGTTAATTACTTAAAGGTTTGTGAGACATTTTAAAGCAAAAAAAATCACAAAAAAGGCTTTAGGCTTCATCTAAAGCTATAGATTTTAGTAAAATGCAAATAATGACAGTAGTGGATATATCTTATTTTTTTAATTAAACATAATTCAAAAGTGCTCAGATATTTGATATTATTTAATGTCAATTTCATGCTATTTTAGATCTCTTAATTTCAGATGTCCCAATGCTCAGTCCTTGGTCCTCTCTTCTATCTACTCTTCCCCCCTTGTCTTACCCAATTTTAAGGTTGATGATCTCCAAACTTTTACATCCAAACTCTCTCCTAAACTCCAGACTCATAACCAAGCCTACTCTGCATCTTCACTTGGATGCCTCATAGGCTTCTCAGATACACCATCCCAAGACTGAACATCTATCTTCTTTCCCCATCCTCCCAACAGTCTTGGTCATCTTAGTTGATGTCAATCCATCCTTCCTGTTATTCAGGCCAAAGTCTTGGGATCATTCTTGACTTCCCTTTCCCACACCAAATGCAATTCATCCTATTTGTTCTATCTTTAAAAGGATTAGCAATTCAACCACTTAGGGCATCCACTGGTATCCTCTGAGCCACCGTCATTCTTCATCAAGATTACTGTAACGGGTCTCCCTGTTTCTACGCTTGATCCCTTTTGGTGTATTCTCAGTTAAGGCTAGCCCTGATGTTTTTAAAACATAGATCAAATCATGACACTTCAATTCTTAAAACTGAAATGCCTCCCAAATCACTCAGGGTAACAGTCAAAGTTCTTTCAAGGATGAGTCAAAACCTATATCTGTGTTGTCCAGTAGAGCAACCACTAATCATACGTGGCTACTGAACAACTGAAATGTAGCTCGTACGAACTGAGATGTGTTGTCAGTGTAAAATACACTCTGGATTTCAAAGATTGCATGTTGAAATGAAAACATTTTAGATAAACTGATTTTTACTAGATGCATTATTAAGGTTGATTTTTACCTGTTTCTTTGTACCTTTTTTTGTGGCCACATGAAAATTTTAAATTACATTTTTATGGCTCTCATTGTATTTCTCCTGGATGGTGCTACACTGTATGATCTGGTCATCATTCTTTTTCTGACTTCTCTTTTTAACTCTACACCTTGCTCGCTTTTTCCAGATTTGCTGGTCTCTTTGTTGTTCTTTCAACATGCTGAGAATGGTCCTACCTCGAGGTGCTCACTGTACTTTTAAGGGCCTGAGCGTCTCTCCCTCTTATTATCTTCTTGGCTGATTTCCTCACTACCTTCAAGTTTTTGCTCAAATCTACCTTCTCAGTTGAGACCAAGCCTGACTGATCTATTTAACATGGCAACCCTCCCATCTTTCCTTGCTCTAATTTTTATTGTTTCTATAGTACTTCTCACACGCTAACATAATATATAGTTTATATATTTACTACATTTAGTATTTATAGTCTTTTTCTCTATTTCCCAGAATATAAGCACTATAAGGGCAAACATTTTAATTTGTTCACTCATGTTTCCCAGGGGACCAGAACAGTGCTAGTACTTAGTAAGAAACCAACAAATGTTTGCTGAACACTCTGGCTCTTCTCTGGCCATACCTTCACCACTAGGTAGTCTACGGAGTCCAGAGGAGTACCCACCCGCAGCCTGCAATGCCCTCTTCTAGACAGATCATGCTCCAAACCCCTGTGAACCCAGAATTCCATTCCTCAAAAGCCACCCCCCACACCCGAGTACAGGGCCTGTAATATCATCTTTCCCAGTTCTGTTCTGTTCCCCAGACCACAGACTGCGCCACCAATTTGCATACAGTTAAGAAAGATGGGTGGTCCAGATGTTTAAGGGGAGAGTGTATGGATCCTGGATGTGTGGACTAGAGTGTCCATTCACTTGTGTGCAAGACCTCTCACAAAACTGGATAGAACTAGGTGAAGGAGGGGCTGGAAGCTGGAGGCCATCTCTCTCTATGCCACCATATTCCTGAGGAGTCCAAAAATTCTAACATTTCACTTGGCTTTCCAGGTTGTTATAAAGATATATCCATCAAAATGGGAGGATAGAACTTATTTTATTGAATAACATTTGCTTGATTTATAATAAACAATAAGCCCCACAGTACGTAGGCCTCCATGTATATTGTCCCAGGTCCACAATTCTTTTTTTTTTTTAATTAATTTATTTATTTATATTTTTGACTGCACGTGGGCTTTCTCTAGTTGCAGCGAGCGGGGCCTACTCTTCGCTGCGGTGTGCAGGCTTCTCATTGCGGTGGCTTCTCTTGTTGTGGAGCATGGGCTCTAGGCATGCAGGCTTCAGTAGTTTTGGCTCACGGGCTCTAGGGCGCAGGCTCAGTAGTTGTGGTGCACGGGCTTAGTTGCTCCGCGGCATGTGGGATCTTCCCGGACCGGGGCTCGAACCCATGTCCCCTGCATTGGCAGGCAGATTCTTAACTGCTGCGCCACCAGGGAAGGCCCCAGGTTCACAATTCTTAAGGATAAACATGCTACCACTCATCATCGTGATGAGTAGAATGCTAATAGAGCAAAGGTGGCAACAAAGAGACAAGGGACACATGAAACTACTCATGTCTGGCATCAAATTGGGAACTCTATGTCACAACAGGAATTCCTGAGACACTGAGCATTTTGGATTGAAGAGATGAATGCTCTGGGTAATGGGAAGAGGGGTTAAAGATCAGCAGTGGCATGCATTGTTTGCATGCTACAATTTGTTTTAAAATCACACTTGCCTGGAATAGTGGAGCCCTAGAGCCCTACAAGTTCTCCTTCAACCACTGTTCCAATGATTGTGCTGTTATCCCTTTGAGTTCTTAAAAGAGAGATCATAAACAATTTCTAACATCATTTGGTCTAAAAAGTAAAATTATTTCATTCATTATAAAAATAATTTATTTTTTTGGCTTATATATAATTATTATCAGCTGCTCTAGGTTACAATAATAGCACTATAATAAATGTTGGGGCAGAGGATATATTATCAATCCTTTGTCTAAAACATATTATAATATCCATCATTCTTCCTAACAAACTCACCATTAGCTCTAACTTCACCTAAGAAGTGGATCTTTTTAACAAAAACTGTAAAAATCTATTGGCTTATCTTAGGATAGAAGGTCACATTGATGGGATTATCAGAGAAAACACAGGTGAAGCACACTCAGGAAAATGAAGAGGTTTATGAGCAAAGACACAATGTCAGTAGGCAATTCTGCAGTGTTTATTAGAGGGATAAATTCTTTTTAGCTATTAATTGATACAGATGCACCATTTGGCATGGCTTTTGGACCACACATTAGCAGAGGCTACAAATAACCCACAAATAATAAAGCCTTTAGTATAAAAAGTGTTATGGATATAAGCCAAAAACAATGATGAAAATATAGAGAAAAATCAACTAATCATAGAAGAGGATGCACCAAGTGCCTTTAGCTACATGAGAAAGTAAAATATAACTAAGAGCATCTTTGTTTTCACATAGTATTTAATGTATAAATATTTGAATTAATTGCATTGTAAAATGTATGTACTCCTCATTCCAGAGTGTGCATTAAAGTATTCTTAGAAACATTTTTGTTATCTTCATAAAAGGTCAGGTTAATAGCAACAGCTACTCCCTTGTCCAGATTCTGGGACTGGAGGGATTTACTGCTTTAATTGAGATTCTTGTGTCTAAAATGAGTCTCTTTCATTACCCATTCTGCTTATTTATTACCCTCTGGTCTTGCAAAATAATGCATGTAACTTAACCATTACCTTAACAAATAAACTTTTTGCAGTGGGAACTCTGGGCATCATGATGTGTTAATGCTGAGAAAGCATATGTTCAAACCATTTTGAACAAAGCCGCCCATGAGTAGGTGATATGTAATTCATTCATGATGAATTATTTGCTAATAATGATGGTGAAGATCCTATTCACTCATCCCACATACCACTAACTCCTACACAGCAAATAATGTAAATATTAAGAGGAAAAAGATTATAGCAAATCCCTCAACCCAAGATTTATATCTGGAGGGGCTCATGGAATCAAAGAATTTTTAAAGAACTATGGGAGATGAATATAAAATTCTTATATTTAAAAGCCACAAATATGCCTTGTTTTGTCCTCCTAAGTTTTCTGTTTTCCGGAATTCAGAGCCACATTCTTGTAGGTACTCTTAAAACCTTTCTGGGAACAAATATCTTGAAACATCTCAATGGGAAACTCCACTGCAGATAACATGAGCTACCAGGCATACTGATTGCAAATAAAATTACAGGAAGCAACTTAGTAATGGCAGGATTTCTTAATAATGAAAAAGGGTCAGTAACATGCTTATGGGTTAATATCG